GACAGGTCCCTCACAGCTTATGCTACCTAAACAGGGTATCCCCATATCCGAGTTAGGATCTATGTAACTCCCATGCAACCCACAAATTTAAAACAGACAAGTCAATACAATTGAAAACACAGTGATCTTAGTCCTAAGGTACACCTCACTTTAAAAATTCCCCAGCAGAGTCGCCAGTTCTGTGATCGGTGGATCTGGAACTGACTGTTTAACGCTGGTTCGCGAAATGTCGCGGAAGCAAGAGTCGCCACCGTCTTTTATTTTCTCCAAATGGAAAGGACAAAAGCACAGAAAAATTCCTTATAGAGATTGCTCTCGGTTCGGGAGGTAGGTTATAAAAAGGGAAGGTGTTAGCACCCTTTCTATCCATGGTTATCCATGGGCTCTTAGATACTTGCTCAATGTGTTTTCAAAAATGGTTTATTTGCTTTTCAACTGTGGGTTTAAAAAAAGTCTCTCTGAAAATTCCAGTTCGACTCTTGTATCGGTCCTCAAGAGTGTTTGAAAAATTGCTTCCGAAAGCTTTTTGAAAATGTGTTGGTGTGAAAAGTATTTTGTTTTGTTTTGAAATTTAGAGCAATTATCTAGAGTCGTCTACCTACCCTAAGGAATTCGTCTGTGTAAATCTCCTTTAAAGTAGTGCCATCCCACCATTGAGAGGTAGGTAGCACCACCGTTGGAGGTGTTCGGGTCAATTCGAGGTTCGGGACATGGTGATCACCGGAGAAATGGGAAGACACCTTAGAAGCTACCCTCATGCCAGGTTCCCGGATCATGAGGACTTACTAAGACATCCTCTACTCGACGACCACCTTTCGAGGCAAGGCAACAGTGAGGCGTACCCTAGGGGTGGTGTGTGCGATTTGTGTGTCGTTTTCATTTGCATTTATCTTGTCATGTTATTGGTGTTCTACGCTTGTTTTTATTTTTGTCCATACATTCTTTCATGCCATTTGTTAACAGTTAAAAATATTGCGGGAATGTAAAAATTCTAAGCTATTACAAAAGGCGCGGGTCCACATCGCCAAAATTAAACCAGGACCCGATTTGACAGAAAAATAAAGAAAGTAAAGAAAAGTGCGAGAAAATTAAAAGGTTACATGGCCTTGGGAGAGATACATAAATATTATAAAGAAATAAAATAAATATGCGAATAAGAATTAAATTGAAACGAGGGCGTTGGACCCTTTTTGCAAAATTAAAATTACATGGAATTAATTAATTAAAAAGAAAAGAAAGAAATTGTTTTTTTGGTATTTTATGATTTTTAGGATTTAAATGAAAAAGAATTAATTAAAATTAAAATAAGATGCTAACCCTAATTCTAATTATTTTTAATTTATTAAGAAAAATGTTGAAGTTTTTAACCTAAAATTAACCCTAATTTTTATATACAATTTTAATTATAAAAATAAATATTTAATTATTTAATTATTATGGGAGAAAAAGAAAAAAGGATAAAAAATTAATATGAACCCTAGTTCTATGTTTTTTAGATTTTTATTAAAAGAATTAAAATTAAAACTTAATTTAAAACTAAATTTAATTACATGCAAATTTATTTATGAAAATACTAAAAATACAATATTTATTATATTTTTTCCTTCTTTCTGATTTTATGGTATTTTTATATTTATGAAAATAATAAAACTAATTAATAAAACAATAATAAAAAGAAGTATAAATAATAAAAAAAGTAAAGAAAGTAAAAAAAATATGCAAACCTAGGGGGTTCAGACCCCAAATAGGAGGTGAAAGCCCAATTAAATTACTGGCCTTGTTGGACTTTTCCACTAGCGTGTAGCAGCGTTGACTGCAGTCTATGATGCTCTCTAACTCTCAGCCTTGTGATTGATGAAGCTGGACGCGTGGACGTTGGATTTGGTGAGCGTATGGTGATCCTTCATAGTAAACCTGCATAGGATAATGGTTGAAAGAAAAATAATAGGAAAGAGTGGGGACCTGGGACCGAACCCAGGTCCTGAATATTACCAGCCTTATGCCTTGCCAATTGTTCCAGATGCGCGCTTTGTATATTAAAGAACAAACAAATATAATAAGAACAACAACACGCGTTAGTGCTTTTTAGCGCGAAATTTTAAAAGGACCAATCATAGATGGCCAACACATCATCTTCTTCATTGATTTTATTTTCCTGAAAATACAAAAGAAACAGGCACGGTTTTGTTAGCGTTCTCCTAGGCCATCTATGGAAAAATAGCGAATAGCCCTGTGCTGCTCATAAATTGAGCGCGAGGGTAGCTTCTTCTTCGTCCAGACATGCTCGATTCAATGGTGTAAGTCATGTGTCCTAATTTTACCATATTACAAAACCCCTAATTTGAAGCTTGCAAAACCCTAATATTCTCCCATGGCAGATCCTCACACGATGCACAAAAACACAATCAAACCATTGGGTTAGCATTAGAATCAAATAAAGAACATGAATCAAGCATTAAAAATCACAAAGAATGCATGAATTGAGATGCACGACTATGAATTTTTTTCTGTACAGGGCCGGTTCATTGTACCAATTCTTGATGTTTTGATGAATGTTTTTGATTGGAAATCGTTCAGTGAACCTCCAGGAAGATGTTTGAACAGCTAGTATGCCTTGAATCAGCCTGCAAAAGTGTTTTCAGTTATGGAGTTTTTTTCACAAAAAGTCAACTTTGCCAATGGTGTTTTTTGCGCAGCTTAGGGGTTTCAGGCATTAGGTTTTCGTTCTATGCTTATGTAGGAATGAATTAGGTTAAGAAATTTGATCCAAATCTTTAAATTGATGGTTTATGAGATTTGATTTTCAATCATATTTTTTTCAATCTTTTTCATGCAATTTTGTACCAATCATGATCCAATCAATCCAATTCCTTCCAAATCTGATCATGCACGAATCATTGAGCCTATTACATGTACAAAAAGATTTGATAAGTTAGGTTAAGTATTTTTCATATATTTAATTGATTTAAATGAATTATTATTAATAAAAATTCAAATAAATAAATAAAAAATGAATAAAACTTCCCTTTGGGCCAAGTGGTCGTGCACATGCTTGGGATGATGAATTGTGGAAGAAAAATGGGCCCATTAGCAATTTTAGGTCATTTGAATCAATGTTGACTTTTCAAAATATCCAAAAATTTCCCAACTTCCACAAGGCATAACTTGCTCAATGTTTAAGCTTTTCTCATGTTCTTGGACATTTTGGAAAGGTCTTTGCGTCCTCTAACCAATGCCTTTGGTCCCATGTCATTTTGATTTACCAATCTCAAGTTATGGCCTTTGACTTAAAGTCCCT